GGGGGAGGTGAGGCAGGTGGGGGAGGTGAGGCAGGTGGGGGAGGTGAGGCAGGTGGGGGAAGTGAGGCAGGTGGGGGAGGTGAGGCAGGTGGGGGAGGTGAGGCAGGTGGGACCCCGTGCTTCCTGATAGCTATTTAGGTCCCTGGTGACACTTCCTTCACCAGACTGTGGGCTCCAGGGAGCAGGATTCACACAGGGCTCACTTGTCCTCCCACCGCCACCAGGCGCAGACATTCTCAGAGTAAAGGGCTCATCATCCACTTCCTGGGTGAATGACTTTCCCGCCAGGCCCATGACACGAGCCCAGCGGTGGCCTCAGCTCACTGCTCAGCTCATAGGCTCCAGGCTGCAGCACAGGGAGAGGCCCCCGAAGAGCCCTGTGGACTCTGCTGAGGATCCCCAGGAGCTCCCAGAGGCCAAGGGCAGGGCAGAGATACACAGAAGTAGCTGCTCAGCCACCTTAGTCCTGCAGAGGCCAAAATGTGGCTGTTATTATTCAGAAGGGGAGGCCAAAAATGCTAGAGGCATGGCTCCTGAGGATTATTTTTGCCGCAATCAACGTGCTGAAACCACTGTTAAGGAGAAAGTCTTAAAAGCAGCCAGAGGCCAGGAGCGGTGGCTCACGCCTGTAATCCCAGCATTTTGGGAGGCTGAGGCGGGCGGATCACGAGGTCAAGGGACCAAGACCATCCTGGCCAACATGGTGAAACCCCATCTCTACTAAAAATACAAAAAAAACCAGCCAGGCGTGGTGGCACACGCCTGTGGTCCTAGCTACTCAGGGGGCTGAGTTGGAAGAATCGCTTATATCCAGGAGGTGGAGGTTGCAGCGAGCCGAGATTGCGCCACTGCACTGCAGCCTGGTGACAGAGCAAGACTCCACCTAAAAAAAAAAGCAGCCAGAGAACAAAGGTCTCCTCCCCACAGACAAGCCAGGTGAGAGGGGCAGCCTAAGCCAGAGAAACCACAGCAGGAGGAGGCAGCCACAGAGGGCCTGCCCCAGGCGGTGTGACTCTTCCCTCCTCTTTACCAGGACTGTTCCCCCTCCCTCCGCTCAGTGCTGAGACATGGGGCGAGGGCATGATGCACTTAATATGACGTAAGCCATGCAAACCTATTACCAGCAAAACTCCAATGCCTTGACTTTGAAATTCTCTTCATCTAACTTTTTTAAGTGGTCATTCCTAGTTTCCCTCATTCCTCCCAGTGCTCTGGACAGACTGGCCTGTGGCCCGGTGCACACACTTTCCCCCTCTGAGCTGTGGTTCCCTCCTCTGTAAAATGCGATGATTCATACCTCCTCCCGGCCCCAGGCGGGTGTCTGAGGTGCTGAGCACACCGTGCTCTTCCCTACAAAGCAGACTCTTTCTCCTTTCCCTATTATCACAGATACCTGCCTGGGAATCCAAGAGATGCTCTTCGCAGACCAACAGGCACCTGCTATTACCAAGCAGGCCAGGTCCCAAATGCTGGGGACTTCCTCCTCCTAAATCTCATTTTCTCTCCATACAAAATGAGAGCAACAATCCCCAACTCTCTGGGTTAGGAAAATACCCTGATCAAAGATGTGCAGTCTCCGGCTGGGAGGAGGACACCAGCTGTCCAACAGTACAGGCTCGGGGCATGGCACTGTCCCCACGGTCCCCATCCCCGACCTAAAAGCTAAAAGCTAGAGCCTCACTGCCCTGCCATTCCTAGATACAGGACAGAAGACCATAACTGGGACTGTCGATTTTCAGTAGGGGCGGGGTGAGCAGCCAGCTGCAGCCACCTAGATGGAGACATTTCCTGCTCTCTCTTCAAACTGCAATCTGGGCTGCATGCCCACTAGAAGGACAACTGAAGTGTGGCAGGTGAACCAGGCTGTGCCCCTGCAGTGAGACCGCTGTCCTCGCTTGAGGTCTGGATCCTCTGTTCCTCCATGGCCCCTCCCCATGGCGCTCCACCCCAGTCTTCAGCAGCTTCTGCCTCAAACTCATGCAAATACTGATGCTGAGGTGCAGGTAGGATTGGGTTCAGCCTCTGCTGGGTGGAGGGCATGTGCCCTGGGGAACCAGTTCACAGTGACTGACACTGTCGCTGAGGATGTGATTTGTCCTCCCACGTGACAGCATACAGCCCGCCAACACAGTCCACTGGGGTTTACATAGAGCCACGGGGGACTTTTTCTTCTATCTGTCTATTTTATAAGGAGCTGGGGCCACACCAGAGTCACTAAGTTGAAGAAAAGCGCTGCCAACCCTGGCAGTCTTCAGCCTCCACTCTCTGGGCTCTTTAACAGCCTGAGTGTCTGAGCTCCTGAGCCTTACAATTTCTCACTTCCTACTTGGATAAAGAGACAGGAGAGGTGGAAGGACGTGGTATAGAGATTGGACCATCCCAGCATTGACAGAGCCAGGACCTGAGGTCAGAAACTGAGCTTATCTCTAGGCTCATCTGAGGTTATCCTGACAGCCTGAGGACAGAGACCTTATCTCCATTCACAGGCGGCAAGTGGCAGGGACTGGCCCCAGCTGACCACGGTTTCCCGAGTGCATAGGTGTGACTGCGGCCTTCCCTGCTCCCTCCCCTGCTGTCTCATCTGGAGTCTCAAAGTCATCTACTTCCAGTCTCAAAAAATTCCTGGATCCTTGAAAATCTTTAATAACATTGAAATAAAAAATACGACATTGGGAGCTATCATTTTTTTACCTCTTAGACTAAGAAAGAACGAAAATTCTGTGTAGTAAGGGTGCAGGGACATGGGCACGCTTGGGTACTCTTGGTGTGAGTGTAAAGACACAACCTTCTCCCAAAGGACAATTTAGCAACATCCAAACAAAATTCTACATTGATGAGCTCATTGACCCAACAATTCCTCTCCTAAGGAGCTGCCCGATACTCCAGTGAACATGGATATATGGGCACGTGACACATACAAGGGTTCTCACTACGATCCTTCTGGACTTAGCACAAAGGCAGGATACCATGTTAACAATTGTCCATAGGATGGAAAACTAAAATCAACTGTGGTTCACCCCATGTGTTTCACCCAGGCACTAAATATTATGATGCTGTTAAAAAGAATGAGATACATGCAGGTAGTGACCGAAAACACCTAAAGCGATTTCTTGTTCACTCAGAATTTTTAAAACCTAAGGTGCCTATAAATGCACAGGAAGAAAGCTGATGGATGGCGGGATGAGAGGGTCCTGTGGGATGGCAGAAGGCCTTGGCATCTGCTTATAGGTCCTACCAGGTCTCATGCTGAAATCTGAACCCCAATGTAGCTGGTGGGTCCTGTGGGGGTTTGGGGTGGATCTCTCACGAATGACTTGGTGCCATACCCGCCCGCTCTCCCATCTGCCTCAAGGAGTTGTCACTGTCAGTTACCGTGAGAGCTGGTTGTTAGAATGAACTTGGCCCCTCCCCCTCCCCTTGCTCATCTCTTTCCCCTCCCCCTACCATCTTTCCCACCCGCTTTCCCGGATGGACAGAATCCAGCTGTCCTTCCCCTTCGCCAGGAGTGGAAGCTTCCTACCAGAAGCAGATGCCGGTGCCATGCTTTTTGTGTAGCCTACAGAACCACGTGCCAAACACACCTCTTTATAAACTACACAGCCTCAAGTATTCTTTTACAGCCACATAAACCAACTGTCACATTGCCAAAACCACCACATTCAGATGTTGGACCTTGTCTACACAGGTGAGCCCTACATCCACCTGGACTCACATTGGCCTGTCAAAAAGAAAGACATTTAATAAGCTTATTAAAAATAAACAACAACCGTGGGTTCCACCTCATATAAACTGATGTTTAAAACATAAATTCTGTAATTATTTGCAGATTACAAAATGCCATTGGTTTCCTGATCTTGTTTACTTTGTTAAACAAAAAAAACTTAAAATCTCCTGACACCTGTAAGACGGGTTTTTATCCTTGAGGTATTTAGCTTTTGTTTTGTTTTGTTTTTCCTCGAAGTGGAAGTAATCGGGAAGAGAGCAACTGGCAGAGCCTCAACCGACTTGAAAGAGAACTGAAGGCATTGGCATTTTCCAGACTGATCGCTTTAACAGAAAAAGCTGCCCTCTGAAGGATGGGTGAGCCCGGTCCTAGCCGTGTCACTGCAGTTGATTCACTGCCCTGTACCTGCTCATGTGCAAGAAAATGGCTGGAAGGAAACTGCTGCTGGGGTGCTCAGGGGACTCGAAGAAAACGGAAGACTACAGAGGAGAGAAAGTTACTTTTTCCTGCCGGGCGCGCGTTTAACCGATCTGTCTAAGTAAAGAAGGATGATGGAGGGGCCGGGCAAGGTGACTGACACCTGTAATCCCAGCACGCTGGGGGCCGAGGCGGGCAGATGACGAGGTCAGGAGATCGAAATTATCCTGGCTAACACGGTGAAACCCAGTCTCTACTAACAATACAAAAAATTAGCCGAACTTGGTGGCGAGCGCCTGCGGCCAGGGATCGCTTGAATCCGGAAGTCGGAGGTCGCGGTGAGCCGCGATCACGCCACTGCGCGCCAGCCTGGGCGACCAAGCGAGACTCTGTCTCAAACCCACACGCGCACACGCGCGCACACACACACACAAAACGAAAAGAAGGATGAGGGTGGGGAGGACGAGAGTGACGGAGGGGGTTTGGGGGGAGGAAAGACATCTCCCCTGCGCTCCCCTTCACGCAGCCAGTGTGGCTTGGAGGTGGCTTGGAAGTTCACACACTTGAGCTCGCTCTATCGATTACGAAACTTCCCGATACGCAGCGGCAGACAGGGTGGAGTGCCCCGGCCCGGACTCCTGCGGGGAGGGGGTTGGGGCTCTCTGCTCCCTCCAGGCCCTGGTCACTCCTGCCAGACCCTAGGGACCCTGCTCTTCCTCCGACTCCTACAATGGGTTCCTGCTGCCCGGACATGCCCGGCCACAGGTGACCCAGGCCAGGCACCCCGCTGCGTGCAAAAAAAAAAGCTCTCCCTGCCCCCTCCCTGTGCCAGGCGCGCTTTTCCGCAGTTCGGACTCACCTGCAGCAAGACCCAGACGATGGCTACAACGAAGAAAGTCTGGGAGACTCGGAGCCCAGGCCTGGCTCCCCGCTCCTGCCTGGGTCCTAGGGCGCGCCCTGCCCAGGCCCTCGAGGGAGCCTGGGCGCAGGGTCCCGGCTGTCTCATGGGGTAGGCAGCGCTCCTCGGCCCCCGCCCCGCTGTTCAATCCTCGACGCGGAGGGGCCCCTAGCTATGCTGTGTGTGGCCGCGGCTACCTCTGAACCTCTCGCTGAGCTTTAGATTCGGAGTCGCTGTCAGGAAAGCGCCCAGCTTTACTCCAGCTGGTGGTGATGGCATCAAATCAAACCGCGTCAATCCAAGAAGCAGTGCGCTCTGATAAAACCGAAGATGGCATTCTCAGAGTCAAGGCACCTGATCCCGCCCCCTTCTCGCGGCACCGGAGGCTCGGGTTGGCGAACCCTGAACTTCCTTCTTCTTTGCCCCTCCTTCCCCCCACCACACCCGACGCTGCTGTTCCTCGACGAAACCCAACCGCCCGGATGCCGCTGCATTCGGAGTCGCTTTGCCACGTTCCTATCTTCCTATTATCCTTAAACCCGAAAAGTATTATGGGATTTGCATGCTGTGGCTATAGTTTAACCAAAACATTAGATTGTGGATCTAGTAACAGACGCCTGCAACTTCTTATCTACCGAGAAAGTGTGTAAGAACTGCTAACTCATGCCCCCATGCCTAACAACGTGGCTTTCTCGACCTTTAAAGGGTTAGAGTCATCCGTGGGTCTTAGGACTCCAAATAAAAGTAACAAACATGTATTTTTCCACTGCTTTAATAGCCCTAATCCCCTTAATCTAAACGATTGTTACTACCTTAACCAGCCCCTGCCAAAAAGGTCCATACCCAAATTACGTAAAAATATCTATCGCATGCGCCTTCGTCATTAGCCTCATCCCTACAGCAATATTTATATGTACATGCCAAGAAGTCATTATCTCAAACTGACACGGAACGACAATCCAAACTCTTAAACTCTCACTAAGCTTCAGAGTACACTACTTCTCCACAATATTCATCCCAGTAGCACTATTTGTTACCTGATCTATTGTAGAATGCTTAATATGATACATAAACTCAGACCCTAATATCAATCAATTTTTCAAATACTGATTTTCCTCATCATCATATTAATTATGGTTACTGCCAACAACAGCCTTCAACTTTTTGTCGGATGAGAAGGCGTAGGAATCGTGTCTTTCTAATTGGCTGATGGTACCCCCGAGCAGATGCGAATACAGAGACCCTCCAAGCAGTGGCGACATTGGCTTTATTTTAGCTGGAGCATAATTCGTCTCATCCTCCAACACGTGAGAGCTTCAACAAGCATTTATTCTTTTATTTATTTGTTTGTTTGTTTGTTTGTTTTTTGAGACGGAGTTTTGCTCTTGTTGCCCAGCCTGGGGTGCAATGTCGCAATCTCGGCTCACCATTCCCGGATCCAAGCGATTCTCCTGCCTCAGCTTTACGAGTAGCAGGGGTTACAGCGCCCACCACGCCGCCCGCCTAATTTTTTTGTATTTTTAGTAGAGACGGGGTTTCTCCATTTTGGCCACGCTTGTCTCCAACCCCCGACCTCCCGTAATCCGCCCTGCTAGACCTCTCAAAGTGCTGAGATTACAGGCGTGAGCCACTGCGCCCGGCCACAGCATTTATTCTAAACCCCACTCCCGACTCCCTTCCATTAATTGGCCTTTCTCTTAGCGGAAGTCGACCTCAGCCTCTTGGTAGCCGGGTTCCTGTCGTCCAGCAGGCGCTCGGTGGGCGGATGGTGGCAGGAATGAAGGCTACAGAGGCCGCCACCGCGGGGTGTGAACTCCGGGCCGCTGAAGGCTTCTACGGCTTCCTCCGTCGACACCAGGCAAGTGAATCATCCTGTTGTTGGTCTCAGGTTTCGATGCCAATAAAATGTCACCTCAGCTCCACTGTCCGCGGTGTCAGGCAAGCCCGAGGGACCCAATCCCGCCTTTCTTCTGGATTTTCCTAACCTGTTAAAAGTCTTGAAAGCCCTTAAACCAGGGGAGACTACCTGGCGCGTGACAGGGGATGCGTTTTGGCTGGGGTCGCATGTGGGGTAGGTCCTCCCATTAGTTCCTCTGTACCCAGCGCTGCGCCGGCCCCGGCGCGGAAAATCAGCCTCCCGAAAGCCAAACGAGTCACAGTCCTGCCTGCGCAGGGCTCCCAGGGTGTCCATGGGGCTGAGGAGTGGGTAAGAGAAAGGCGGCGCTGGTTGATGTTCATTTTTCTCCGTATTTTTACGGGTGTTCCGACACCATTTGTGGAAAAGATTTTCTGTCCTTATCCAATAGCTTTATCACTTTTGTTGAAATTAAATTGACCATATATATACGTGTGTGTTCATTTCTGGACTCCATTCTGCTCCAATTATCTTTATTTGGCTAATGTCATGCTAATTTCTACATTGTCCTAATTATGAGCTGTGTAGTCAATCTTGAAATCAGGGAGTTCAAGTCCTCCCCCTGCTAGCCCCCCAAAAATGGTTTGCGTTTCCACATATATTTTATATAGAACTACTTTTTTTCAATATGAAAAGCCTGCTGGGATTTTAATTGGGATTGCACTTGAATGTAGAGATCAATGGAAATAACAGACATTTCAACTATTTTGAGTCTTCCAATCTATGAAATCGATTTATTTATTTATATATTCATTACTTAAGCTTGATAATATTTTGCAAACTTTTCACATACAGGTTTTGCATATCTTTTGTAAATATATTTCTAAATATTTTTGTTACTATTGCTAACAGAATTAGCTTCTTTTATTTTCAAATTATTTGTTGCAACTATACAGAAATACAATTGATTTTTGTGCATTGGCCTTGTAACCTATAGTACTGCTAAATAGATATAATGTTTCTAGTTGTTATTTTATAATTATTTAGGATTTTCTATGTAACTAATCCTATTGACTGTAACTAAAAACTGTCTCAGTTCTTCAATTCCAATCTTATTTATTTATTTACTTATTTATTTGAGATGGAGTTTCACTCTTTTTGCCCAGTTTGAAGTGCAATGGCGTGATCTCGGCTCACAACAACCTCTGCCTCCTGGGTTCAAGTGATTCTCCTACCTCAGCCTCCCAAGTAGCTGGGATTACAGGCATGTGCCACCACATCTGGCTAATTTTGTATTTTTAGTAGAGACGGGGTTTCTCCATGTTGGTCAGGCTGGTCCCAAACTCCCAACCTCAGATTATCCTCCCACCTTGGCCTCCCAAAGTGCTGGGATTATAGGCATGAGCCACCGCTCCCAGCCTCCAATCTTTATACCTTTTATTCATCTTTCTTGCTGAGTTGCTCTGGATAGGATTTCCAGTACAATGTTAAATAGAAATAGTTAAAGCAGGCATGCTTATCTTATTCCATACCTTAGAGAGAACACATCTAATTAATCACCATTAGATACAATGTTATAGCTTCCTCATAGATCCCTGCTATGGTTGTAATGTCTCCTCCAAAACTCATGTTGAACGAGACTCCACCTCCAAAAAAAAACAACAAAAAGGCCCCACCACCCAACACCCTTACACTTGCAAGTGGCTCACGCCTGTAATCCTAGGGCTTTGTTTGGGAGGCCGAAGTGAGTAGATCAGGAAGTCAGGAGTTCAAGACCAGCCTGGCCAATATGGTGAAACGCCATCTGTACTAAAATTACAAAAATTAGGCAGGCATGGTGGCGCACTGCTGTAATCCCAGCTACTCAGGAGGCTGAGGCAGGAGAAGTGCTTGACTCCAGGAGTCAGAGTTTGCAGTGAGCTGAGAATGCCTCAGTGCACTGCAGCCTAGGTGTCTCAGCGAGACAAGTCTCCTTCTGTCGCCCAGGCTGGAGTGGAATGGCAGGGTGATCTTGGCTCACTGCAACCTCCACCTCCCAGGGTTCAAGCAATTCTCCTGCCTCAGCCTCCCAAGTAGCTGGAACTTCAGGCATGCACCACCATACCTGGCTAGTTTTTGTATTTTTAATAGAGATGGGGTTTCACCATGTTGGTCAGGCTGGTCTCAAACTCCTGACCTCATGATCTGCCTGCCTCAGCCTCCCAAAGTGCTGGGATTACAGGTGTGAGCTACAGCGCCCGGCCTGATGTATTATCTTTTTTACGTATTGCTAGGTTTGACTTGCTAATACTTTCTTAAGCATATTTTTGTGTCTGTATTCATGAGAGATACTGATTTATCATTGTCTTTTTCTGTTATACCTTTCTAAGTTTGGGTATAATCATTATTCTGGCTTTATAAAATAAACTCAGTTTTCTTGAGAGTCGTGTAAGATTGGCATTACTTCTTTCTTCAGTGTTTGATACATTCACCAGTAACACGATCTGGACTTGGAGATAATTTTTGTTGTTTTTCTTTCGGAGTATGTGTGTGTCTGAAGGTTTTTGATAATGACTTCAAATCCTATAATAGATAAAGGTTTTTCAGATTTTCTATTATTTTATGCGTCTCTTCTGGCAAGCAAAAATTTTCAAGGAATTTGTCTCTGAGTTCTTAAAAAACTTTATTGGCATAAAGTTGCTCACAATATTCCCTTATTATCCTTAGCAAACATAGTGATATCCTCTCTTTTATTTTGATTTTGGTAATTTATGTTCTGTCTCTCTCTGATGAGTTTCGCTATTTATAAATGTTATTATTCTTTTCAAATAGCTATGCTGTCTATGTTAATTTTGTTTATACTTTCAGGGTTTTTCTGTTTTTTATTCTACAGATTTCCTCACCTCATTATTGCCTCTATTATACTTATTCTGGGTTTATATTGCTCTTCTTTCTTTAGCTTTTAAATGGAAACCTAGATCATTGATTTCTATCCTTTTTTCTTTACTAATATAAACATTCATACTCTCTATGTCCTGCTGTAGTTACTTCCTACAAATTTTAATATTTTGCATCATCATTTAGTTTGAAATACTTTCTGATTTCCACAAGCTTTCTTCTCTGACCCATGGTTGTTTAAATTGCAAATATGAAAGTCTTTTCTATATATCTTACTGTTATTGACTTCTAGTTCAATTTTACTGCAACTAAATAATGTATTCTGCAGCCCCAAAAGCAGTACTCATAGCTCTGACAAAGGCCTTAGACTGGGCAGAGGGAAAAACTGTTAAAATCTACACTGATAGCTGGTATGCCTTTGCTACGGCTCATGTACATGGAGCCATTTATAAAGAAAGAGAACTACTTACTTCAGAGGGAAAAAAAAACATCAAAAATAAAGAAATCCTAGCCCTACTAAAGGCTATATGGAAGCCCAAGGCAGTGGCATTAATACACTGCGAAGGATACGGGAAGGGAAATTCACCAGAGGCGAGGGGAAATAGGGCGGCTGACCTACAAGCCGGACAGGCAGCCTTGGGACCAGTAAAACCTCTGACTCTTTTTGTGACTCTGCCGGCCCCAACCCTGCCCCCCACCCCTACATACTCACCTGATGAAGAAAACTTTGCTAAAGAACAAGGGGGCACACAAGATTCCACAGGATGGTGGATTCTACCGGACACAAGGATTGTGGTCCCCAAGACTCTAGGACGGGCCCTAGTTAAGGACACACACCAGGACAGACCAAACTAACTGAGCTGCTGAAAGTCACATAATACATTCCCCACTTACATGAACTTATAAAGAAAACTACTACTCTGTGTGATGTTTGTGCCCGAGTAAATCCAGGAGGGAACAGGTCTAGCCAGGTAGGAGTAAGACTCAGAGGGACTAGCCCTGGGGAGCACTGGGAAGCAGATGTCACTGAAATAAAACCCCCAGCAAATGGCTATAAATACCTCCTGGTGTTTACAGATACATTCTCTGGATGGGTCGAAGCCTTCCCCACTAAGTCTGAGACTGCTTTGGTGGTCACAATAAAACTATTAGAGGATGTTGCTCCTCGGTTCGGCCTCCCTCTAACGCTGGGGTCAGACAATGGGCCCGCCTTTACTGCACAAATTTCTCAGGGCCTAGCCAAGGCCCTGGGTATATCCTGGAAATTGCACTGTGCCTATCGTCCCCAGAGTTCGGGACAAGTTGAACCAATGAACCAGACCTTAAAAGAAACCCTGACAAAGTTTATCCTAGAAACCGGTGGAAACTGGCTCAGCCTGCTTCCTTTCGTCCTCCTCCGCATCCGATGCATGTCCCTATCAAAAAGGTTTCTCCCCTTTTAAAATCATGTTCGGCAGGCCCCCTCCCTTACTCCCCAAACCCGCGGATACCATGCATGCTGAAGTCCATAATTATACACTCCTTAAGTCCTTACAGGCGCTCCAGTCTGTTCAATCACAGGTACACCAGGTCATTAAGGACACCCGTCCCACCCGATTGGACCTTGCAGAGCAGCCAACACCCCTTCCAGCCCAGAGGCTCTGTCCTTGTTAAAAGATTCGCCACCTCTGGCCTCACTCCGCGTTGGAAGGGACCCTACACGGTTATCCCGACCACACCCACCACACTCAAGGTGAACGGACTAACGGCCTGGATTCATCACACCCATATCAAGACTGCCCCACCAGAAGGACAATGGAGCATCAAACACTCATCCTCTGATTCACTAAAGCTAGACTTGTGTGCTCTTCACGGTCACCACCCTCACCACCCTAATCCGTGCTATAAATCCCTATAGCAACCCCCCCCCCCAGAGCCCACCTACTATCAGTGGGTCCTCACCGAGGGCTCCACTGGAGGATATGTTAGTTCCTTAACCAGGAAGGGATTCACCCTAGTCAACTTAACCCTGGAGTACATTCCAAAGAACCCCATTACCTTCTCCCTAGACCTGTGTGCTCTCCTGAGCCCCAAACTAAATTTCAGAACAAGTGGAGGTGTTGCCGGGTGCAGCAGTTCAGGGGCAGAGCAACAATGATCTGTGCCCAGGATCCACCCCCCACCACCCCAAAAAAAGATGAAACTGTGGAGACTTAAATGAATTCTTTTGCCCCCACTGGGATTGTGAAACTGATCTCCACTATATCAGGGTACACCAAAAACATAGACTAATGATATTAAGGTCTCGATATGAGCCCAATACTAACCTGTTGGAGGAATCAATGATTTAATTCCTGTCAATAAAACAAGAGGGGGATGTGACATGGTAAAAGCCCCATAATACCTCAACCATACCTCAGCTTTCTGTTGAAACTGCTCTCTGTAACCCAAATGTGAATAAGTAATTAAGGACAGTAATTTCCACCCTACCCAGACAATGTGTAAACAAATGCTAATCTTGACTTTTGTGAACCACTTAAGTAACAATCAGAATGTCCAAAGTCCCCTGGCCCTCAGAATGTCTGACTGGGCAGAGATGAGGGAGCCCCTCACCCTCATCTCTGCCCAGCAGGTGATTTACAGAATCCACTAGCCCTCAGAATGTCTGAAGCCCCTCACCCCCACCCCTGTCCCTCACCCTCACTCCCAAGGTGGTTTTACAGGTATAAAAGGTCTTGACACCCTCCTTTCAGGGCCACGGGTTGGAGAGACGAGAGTCCTCCATGGCCACCAGCAATAAAGACCCTGCAATTTGGCATTAAAAAAAAGAACATATTCTGTACAATTTCAATCCTTTTACATTTGTTAAGACTCTTCATAGGCCCAGAATTGGGTGTACCTTAGTGAACATACTATGTGCACTCAAAAAGAATGAACATTCCACAGTTGTTGGGTATAGTATTCTATAAATGTTTATTAGGTCAAGGTGCTTGACAACTTTTTTCAGATGATCTATGACTTCATTGATTTTTGTGGTTTTTTTTTTTTTTTTGAGACAAAGTCTTGCTCTGTTGCCCAGGCTAGAATGCAGAGGCACCCATCTCAGCTCACTGCAACCTCAGCCTACCAGGTTCAAGCAATTCTCCTTCCTCAGCCTCCCACACAGCTGGGATTATAGCCACCTGCCCCCATGCCTGGCTAATATTTGTATTTTTGGCACAGATGAGGTTTTACCATGTTGTCCAGACTGGTATTGACTCCTGACTTCAAGTGATCTGCCAGCCTTGGCCTCCCAAAGTGCTGGGATTAGAGGCATGAGCCAACGCGCTGGCCTCCATCTTTTACTTTCAATCTATCAAAAGCTTTATATTTAAAGTGCCTATATTTTAGGCAGTTAATACTTTCAGCTTGCTTCCCCCCCCCCCCCCAACCCCACCATTTGGAGAAATTCTGCCTTTTAGTTTGATTGTTTATTCTGGTTACATTTGTTGTGGTGGTGAAATTTGGAAAGTTCCATCTGCCACAATTTCTTCATTTCGTTTTTAATGCATATTTTCAATGTGTGTGAATAATGAGTCAACAGGTTTTTTTCACTACTTGACAGATCCTGGGCCTTGGTTTTTTTGAGTCAGCTGTCATTCATATCTTTGTTCCCTGTGAATGCATAAAATCGGCTCCGCATGCTTATGATGTGTCCAGGTGGGGTTTTCTTTACATTTATTTTCTGAGGGGTTTATGAACTTTTTGAATCTGTAAGTTGGTATTTTTTCACTACTTTTGAGAATGTGTGAACCATTTTTTCCCTCATCTTTTCCAACCATTTCTTCTTGGTCCCTGGTTCCATGAGCAGTGCATGACGTTGTACCATAGGTCACTGAGACTCACTTCCTTGTTTTAGTTCAGTTTCATTTTCCTTTTTGCTCTAGCTTGAACGATTTCTATTGATCTCTTTTCAAGTTCACCCATATGTTAGCTTCTGCAATGTTCAATCTCACTTCAAAAAGCCCAAATAAATTTTTTTATTTCAGAGAGTGGAGTTTTCAATTCTAAAATTTCCATTTGGTTCTTTTTTTATAGTTATCATGGGTATGCTGAAATAGCTTATCTTTCATTCACGTCAACAATCTTTTCTGTAGACCCAACATATATTTTATAGTTCCCTAAAAGAGATTCTATTATGAATCAGCATTAAAAATCACTGTCAAGGCCAGGCGCGGTGGCTCAAGCCTGTAATCCCAGCACTTTGGGAGGCTGAGGCGGGTGGATCACGAGGTCAAGAGATCGAGACCATCCTGGTCAACATGGTGGAACCCCGTCTCTACTAAAAACACAAAAAATTAGCTGGGCATGGTGGCGCGTGCCTGTAATCCCAGCTACTCAGTAGGCTGAGGCACGAGAATTGCTTGAATCCAGGAGGCGCAAGTTGCGGTGAGCCGAGATCGTGCCATTGCACTCCAGCCTGGGTAACAAGAGCGAAACTCTGTCTCAAAAAAAAAAAAAAAAGCTCTCCAGAGGCGGGCCCTAAACGGGCACCTCCCCTTTCCGACCGCTCTAGGGGCTCTGCCAACTGGCTCACGTCTCCCTTTCACGTTTCCTCCCGCTCTCCAAGATCGAAACCGAGAATCGAAACTAAGCTGGGGTCCATGCAGCAGGAGCCTGCACCCGCCCGATCTCCGGGGCCCCAGCAGGACCCCGCCCGGCCCCACGCGCCCACCATGCCTCCCCCCGGCACCCCCTCTGAAGGCCGCCAGCCCAGCCCCGGCCACAGCCCTGCAGAGCAAAGCACGGAGGAGGAGTTCCGGTTTCTGCGCTGCCAGAAATGCCAGGCGGGAGCCAAGTGCCCGAAGCTGCTGCCTTGCCTGCACACGCTGTGCTCGGGATGCCTGGAGGCGTCGGGCATGCAGTGCCCTATCTGCCAGGCGCCCTGGCCCCCGGGTGCAGACACGCCCGCGCTAGATAACGTCTTTTTCGAGAGTCTGCAGCGGCGCCTATCGGTGTACCGGCAGATCGTGGACGCACAGGCTGTGTGCACCCGCTGCAAAGAGTCGGCCGATTTCTGGTGCTTTGAGTGCGAGCAGCTGCTCTGTGGCAATTGCTTCGAGGCACACCAGTGGTTCCTCAAGCACAAGGCCCGGCCCCTGGCAGAGCTGCGCAACCAGTCGGTGCGTGAGTTCCTGGACGACACCCGCAAGACCAACAACATCTTCTGCTCTAACCCCAACCACCGCACCCCTGCGCTGACCAGCATCTACTGCCGAGGCTGTTCCAAGCCGCTGTGCTGCTCCTGCGCGCTCCTTGACAGCGGCCACAGCGAGCTAAAGTGCGACATCAGCACGGAGATCCAGCAGCGACAGGAGGAGCTGGACGCCATGACGCAGGCGCTGCAGGAGCAGGACGGCGCCTTCGGCGCGGCGCACGCGCAGATGCACGCGGCCGTCGGCCAGCTGGGCCGCGCACGCGCAGACACCGAGGAGCAGATCCTCGTGCGCGTGCGCCAGGTGGTGGCTCACGTGCAGGCGCAGGAGCGCGAGCTGCTGGAGGCGGTGGAGGCGCGGTACCAGCGCGACTACGAGGAGTTGGCCAGCCGGCTGGACCGCCTGGACGCTGTGCTGCAGCGCATCCGCACGGGCAGCGCGCTCGTGCAGAGGATGAAGTGCTACGCCTCGGACCAGGAGGTGCTGGACATGCACGGTTTCCTGCGCCAGGCCCTGTGCCGTCTGCGCCAGGAGGAGCCCCAGAGCCTGCAAGCCGCCGTGCGCACGGATGGCTTCGACGAGTTCAAGGTGCGCCTGCAGGACCTCATCTCTTGCATCACCCAGGGGACAGATGCAGCTGTATCCAAGAAAGCCAGGCCAGAGGCTGCCAGCACTCCCAAGGACCCTATTGATGTTGACCTGCCTGAGGAGGCAGAGAGAGTGAAGGCCCAGGCCCAGGCCCTGGGGCTGGCTGAAGCCCAACCTGTGGCTGTGGTACAGTCAGTCCCCGGGGCATACCCTGTGCCAGTGCATGTCTTCTCCATCAGAGACCCTTCCAACAGAGAGGAGGTCTCCAACACAACCACAGTCCAGAAGAGGAAGAGCATTCAGACCCAGTGCACCAGGAAGATGATCAAGATGGAGTCTGAGGAGGGGAAGGAGGCGAGGTTGGCTCGGAGCTCCCCCGAGCAGCCCAGGCCTAGCACCTCCAAGGCAGTTTCGCCACCCCACCTGGATGGGCCCCCCAGCGCCGGGAGCCCCGACATAGGAAGTGAGGTCATCCTGCCCAACAGCAACCATGTGGCCAGTGGTGCCGGGGAGGCAGAGGAGCGCATTGTGGTGATCAGCAGCTCGGAAGACTCCGATGCCGAAAACTCGTCCTCCCGAGAGCTCGATGACAGCAGCAGCGAGTCCAGTGACCTCCAGCTGGAGGGCCCCAGCAGCCTCAGGGTCCTGGATGAGAGCCTTGCCGACCCCCGAGCAGAAGACAGGCCTCTGGTTTTCTTTGACCTCAAGCTTGACAATGAAAAAGATTAGCCAGCTGGCAGCAGTGAACCGGGAAAGCAAGTTCCGCGTGCTCATCCAGCCCGAAGCCTTCAGCATCTACTCCAAGGCCGTGTCCCTGGAGGCGGGGCTGCAGCACTTCCTCAGCTTCCTGAGCTCCATGCGCCGCCCCATCTTGGCCTGCTTCAAGCTGTGGGGGCCTGGCCTCCCGAACTTCTTCCGGGCCCTGGATGACATTAACAGGCTGTGGGAATTCCAGGAGGCCATCTCGGGCTTCCTGGCTGCCCTGCCTCTCATCCAGGAGCGTGTTCCTGGGGCCAGCAGCTTCAAACTCAAGAACCTAGCCAAGACCTACCTGGCGAGAAACATGAGCGAGCGCAGCGCCATGGCCGCCGTGCTGGCCATGCGTGACCTGTGCCGCCTCCTTGAGGTCTCCCCAGGCCCCCAGCTGGCCCAGCATGTCTACCCCTTCAGTAGCCTGCAGTGCTTCGCCTCCCTGCAGCCCCTGGTGCAGGCGTCAGTGCTGTCCCGGGCCGAGGCCCGCCTCCTGGCCCTCCACAACGTGAGCTTCGTGGAGCTGCTGAGCGCACACCGCCGGGACCGGCAGGGGGGCCTGAAGAAGTACATCTGCCACCTAAGCCTGCAGACCGCCACGCTGTCCCCCACCCAGCCTGCTCTCAACCTGCAGGCTCTGGCCACCTACTTCGAAGGCCTGTCGGAGGGTCCGGCGCTGGCACGGGCAGAAGGTGTCTCCACCCCCCTTGCTGGCCCTGGCTTGGCAGAGAGGGCCTCGCAGCAGAGCTGAGAGGAGTGGGTGACCGGCTCGGGTTCTCTGGTGGGCAGAGAGGGATGGGGTCCCTGAGCCAGGCCCCGCCCATCACAGCATTCCCAGGTCCTGGTACCCAGCCCTCAGTTGTCATTTGGTTCAGAAGCAGTTCCCTCTCTCTGGGACCAAATTTCCCTTCTCTAGACATCCTACAGAGAAGCTTCCGAAGCTGAGGCCCCACCACCCCAGGTGTTCACCAGGCGCCCAGCCCCTCCTTCCAGGAGCTAGAACCAGAGATGTCCTGAGTGAGGAAGGCATGACCTCTGAGCTCTCTAAGTGGCCCTGGTCTTGCCTCTGCCATCCCACCTGCCACTACCTTGGGTGTCCTTACAGCTCTGCCCTGACCCCAGCCGCTGTGCCAGCGGACCTGCTGACAGCTCCCGCAGAGAGCAGTCCGAGGTGGTGCTGGCCACGCTCCCACTCGAAGTGCCTTCCAAACCGGACTGCCCCTCGTGAGGTTAGGTTCCTCCAGCCTCCGCCTGCCCAGCGACCAACGCTCTTCCCTTCCCCTTTCATCCCACGGGGGCCTCATCAGCAAAGACAGAAGCTGATGTTCCACGCATGTCCCTGCTTTCAAAGCCTGACCTTCCAAAGTTTGCTTCTTTCCTCCTGGGCACAGACACCTCTGCTTGGCCACAGCTTTGCTCTTTGGTCCTCAGGCCACCAGACCCTCACAGCATGGCCCTTGGCTCTTCCTGCCCTGCCCTCACCCTCAGACCTCCCAAGGAGTGTCCAACTACCCAATGTGTAGTCCAGGGCATCGGCATCCCCTGGGAGCTTCTTAGAAATGCAGACCCGTGGGCTCCACCGCAGGCCTCTGGAATCAGAAGCTTCAGGGTGGGGCCCAGCAGTCTCTCTTTTAATGGGTTCTCCAGGTGATGCTGGTGCATGCTCCAGTTTGAGAACCGCTGCTCTTACAGACGGCTCCTCCAAGGGGAAGGGTGTGAAACAGCAGAGAAAGTCCCATCCCTGTCTCTGTGCAGTGAGTGTGGCCTAGGAAAAAGTCCCTTCCTAAGCTTCAGCGTCCCCACCTATAAAATGGGCTGATTGGCCTCCATGGTCTCGGAGCTGCCCTCCGGCTGTGCCAGCCTGCATTTTTAGGAATGGAAAGCAGGCCTCTGAGGCAATGGGCAGGAAACTTTCTCATTCTTGAATTCTAGCTCCCATTCCAAGCCTTTAGTTCCCCAACTTGCGGTCACACCAGCGGTCAACAGCAGAACGCAGGCAGGTCAGGGTTGTCCTCTCTGATTAGCAGAACAGCGGACCCTTCCTCCTCCTGCCTCCCTCCCATCCGTCCTCCTTGGCTCCCTGCTCCTGGGATGCTTCCCAGACAGCCCAGGCGTCTAGCCTCCATGGCTGATGACCTCAGCTTTCACATCGGTGAGATCTGCTTGCCCATACTGCAGCTCCGTCCCATGCGGGCCCTGAAGACTCCCTGAGGGATTCTGTAGGATCTTGTTCCCATGACGGGAGTGTGGCTCTAGCAGTGAACGTTGACACAATTAAAGTAAGATTCTGATGCCAGACTGTTAAAGCAGGTGCTGGTTCTGAAGCACCTATGGAAACATATTGATGTAGATTGAAGGAGGAAGGGAGACTGGGCCCACTGACTTCCAGCCTTGCCATGTGTTGCTGTCTTCAGATGTAGCTGAGGGGTGCTCTGCCCTGCCTCCACTGTCACAGCCTTTAATAAAGATGTGAATCTTGAAAAAAAAAAATCACTGTCAAGACAGAAACTCTACCTAGAAGAATGAGGTTTTTATGGAAGAATGAGGTTTTTATGGTTTTGGTTTTGTCTTTTGAGATAGGGTCTCACTCTGCTATCCAGGCTGGAACGCAGTGGTGCAATCATGCCTCACTGAAACCTCGACCTCCTGTGCTCAAGAGATTCTTCCACCTCAGCCTGCTGAGTACCTGGTACTACAGTCATGGGCCACCAAGCCCAGCTAATTTTTGTACTTTTTCTAGGTACAAGGTTTTGCTGTGTTGCCCAGGCTGGTCTTGAGTTCTTGAGCTGAAGTGATCTGCCTCAGCCTTCAAAATGACTAGGATTACAGACCTGAACCATTGTGCCCAGCCAAGAGTGAGTTATCTAATGAAGAGTAACAATAACAGAAAATGTTTGTTAGCTCCTGCCTACAATAATTTTACAAGTATTTATTGAAAACTGATTATGTACCAGGCAAAATGTATGCAAACATTAAAATACACAGTACCTGCTCTAGGGAATGTGCACACTAGTAGGGAGATAGTAAAACAATTGCAATAAAATGTGATTTGGCAGGACCTATTAAAATGATTCCATACCCAAGAACTTGTATTTTTACTTTGGAGGGTAAAATACTTACGGTGATTAGGAGATAGAAGGTAGGAGAGAAGAAGAGAGTGGAAGAAAATGAACTGGGGAATGTCTCAGACCTTATTTACAAAGAAATCTTCAGGAAGACAAAGAAGGGGGGCAAGGGAAGACAGCAGAGGAAGTTTTAGCCTATGACACCCATAGCTACAGCACGCAGTAAACACTCCCTAACTCCTAGTCAGATAAACATAAAATCTCCCACTAAAGTCCTATTTCACTCAGTTACTTTTATCCAATCCATCATGCCCATAATACAGGAAGTAAACATGTATTACAGAATCGAAGGAAGAGATTTACACTACTATACTAATAGTTGGGGACTTCAATTCTCCCACTTTCAAAGATGGACAGAACAATCAGAATGAAGATGAGTAGGAGCACAGATCACTTGAACATCACTATATACTAATGGAAACTAAAAGACATACAAAACAGTTCACCACAAACAGAAGCATAAAATTTTTCTCAAAGATGCATAGAATATTCTCCAGGATAAACCATAAGTTAGGTCATACAGTAATTCTTTTTATATATATATAAAATAGACCTACCCCTTACCACTGTCATACAGTAATTCTTTACAAATTAAAAATAACTGAAATTATATAAAGTATCTCTTCTGATCACAATATGACACTAGAAATCAACATCGGAAGGAAAAGAGTAAACTCCACAAACATGTAGAAATCAAACAAGTTTTTAAATAACCAATGAGTCACAAAGGAACTCATATGAGAAATTATAAAAGATCTCCAGATCTTTTCTAATTAAGTAATTAAAATTTCGGCTTGCCGTAGTGGTTCACGCCTGTAATCCAAGCACTTTGGAGGCCAAGGCGGGAGGATCACCTGAGGTCAGGAGTTCAAGACTAGCCTGACCAACATGGAGAAACCCCATCTTTAAAAAATAAAATAAAATAAATGTTCTAATTAAATTTAATTAGGAAAACATGATCCAACAGTGAAGTAGAAAACACAACATATGGAAACTTATGAGATGCAGTGAAAGCAGGGCTACGAGGAAATGTTATGGTAAAGGCTTATTTCAGGAAGGAAAAAAGACCTAAAAGAAACAATCTAACTTTATACATTAATAAACCAGGAAAGGAAGAATAAACTAAATCCAAGGCTAGTAGAATGAAGGAAATTAAAAAAAATAGAGTATAGATTATTTTAGGAAGAGAACAGAAAAACTGTAAAGAAAAATCAATAAGCCCAGAAGCTGATTCTTTGAAAAGATTAACAAAATGGAGAAATCTTTGGCTAAATTTATTTAAAAACAAGAAAACTCAAATTACTGAAATCAGAAATGGGACATTATCACTGATTCTATAGCAATTAAATAAGGATTAGAAGAGAGTGCTGTGAAAAAATGTATGCCAAAACCAGAATGATCTAACTAAAATGAACAAATTCCTAGAAACACACAGCCTACCAAGACTGATTTATAATGAAATAGAAAATTGGAACAGACATAACTGGAAGGAGATTGAATCAGTAATCAAAAACTTCCCTGGACCAGATTTGCATTCTGCCAAATATTTAAAGAAAAGTCACCACCAGGTTTTCTCAAACGCTTCCAAACGGGAAAAGAAGGAAACCCTTCCTGATTGTATGAGGCCAGTATTGTCCTGACACCAATGTCAGGCAAAGATACTACAAGAAAAAAACTACAGACCAATATCCTTTATAAATTTTGTTGCAAAAATCTTTAACAAAATAGTAACAAACTGAATCTAACATTTATTGATTTTTATTTATTATTTACTTTTAAGACAGTATTGCTCTGTCATCCAGGCTGGAGTGCAGTGGTGTGATCATAGCTCACTGCAGCCTCGAACTCCTGGGCTCAAATTATCCTCTTACCTCAGCCTCCCAAGTCACTGGAACTATAGCTGCTTGTCACCATGCCCAGCTAATTTCTTGGTTTTTTTTTTGGTTTTGTTTTAGAAATGGGGTCTTGCTATGTTGTCCAGGCTAGTCTCAAACTCTTGGCTCAATCAATCCTCCTGCCTCGGCCTCCCAAAGTGCTGGGATTACAAGTGTGAGCCACCACACCCAGCCTTGTTTGTTTGTGTCTTTGCTGTTGTTTCAGTCTTTCTCCCACTGGGTTTGACCAACTCTATCCGACTCGATCAAATCCAAAGGAAAGTTCCAAATTACGAGGAAAAAGGCTTCTAAAGTGGCTAAATTCCCATACACAAAAAAAGGTGGTATAGTGGGGGGAGAAAAACGGCCAAGAAAAGAAAAAAATAGGAATCATTTTTTATTTTGACTACTTAAGGGTTTTATTTACATAACAAGGCGACCTTTTTGCTAGCCAGGGCAAACTGAAAGCAATGGCTGACTCCCCCCCCCCGCCCCCCAGCCCCCCCAGCCCCCGTGCACTCTGCAGTTCAATAACTAAGGTTCTGCCTTTTTTCCCTCATCGTGACAGCTTAGGTTTGGTTCCTAAATAAGGTCCTTTCTGGTTTGATACTTGGTTCTTCAGAAATAGCAGCAATTTGTCCCAGCTAAAATATAATAACATTTTGAAAGATTTTTTATTTTTAAAGGCACCCAATGGTTAAAAGTCAGCTGAATTAAAAGCTAACATGTAAAATATATGTGTATGTGTGCATGTTTGTATTTAAAAGGCCTTCATGTTTTTGTTTTTGTTTTTCTCTGCTAGGACCTTGTTTATTTTTTTTTGAGCAAAAGTTTTTTCCTGTGGCGTTGGTGGTATAGTGGTTAGCATAGCTGCCTTCCAAAGCTTTTTCCTTCTCAATTGACTGAAATCCATTTTCACCCCATTTTTCTTTTTTTTACTAAAATCGTTCTTGCAATAGAGGCTACTCTTGGGTTTTTAAGAAACAGTATAGTTTGGACACTCAGAAATGCCTTGTTTAAAAAAAAATTAAGTGCACTGTAAAAGCATCGCATGGTCTAGCCTCATAATAATTCTCCCTTTTTGGAGACCCAGGAGCTCAGAGATCCAGTTAAATAAAAGTAGGTAGTGCTGGGCACAGTGGCTCAGCCT